CGGTTGCTAAAAAAATGCAAAAAATATGTCGAATATGAGTCTGCGCTCTTGAGACTCAATCTGTTCTTTGACCATGCCTGTGACTTAAAAACAGTATTTCGATTCTACATTTCAGAAACTTGCAGTTATAGGGTGCACTAGCTCAGAATTTCATGGTGGAAGTGAACACAATGGCAGAACAGTCTTTACACATTCTTTCCAGTGTGTGCATGTGTGTGCAATAATTTGTGTACCCTAGGTCACCTACTTTGTTCAGGCAGTGATCATACCCTTGTGTTTTAACACAGGTGACAAAGGGGATGTTAAGGGAAGGGGGGCAAATAAATGGAGTAGTATTGGCAAGAAGAGTTCATTTATTAGTTAATTTAAAAAAGTCTGCATTCTTTGTATCCTGTTTGATGCAGTTCATTGCCCAGTAGTAGAGTATTGTCCATAAGTCAGCTGGTCAAGTAGTACCATTTCTTCTGCACTATATTTTCAACCCTGGAAGGCCATCAGCCCAGGCGTCTGGCCTAATTGAGTGCTTCTCCTTCCTGTAAGAAAGAAAAAGAAGGCAAATCACAACACACAGCTGCCTGCCTTCATAAAAACAAAAGGAATAGTCTCAGTGCTAGAGGGAATTTATTTACTACTCATGCGAAACCTTTACAAAGTCATGTAGTCATCTGCATACACGCCAGGAAATAAAGCGCCATTGCACAGCACAAAGTTCTCTTGTGTTGCAAATATGAAGCGCACGGAAGACTGGTGTCTTGGGGTACATTCAAAAACCTCCTAAAGGTGATGTTGATGTTGACAGGTGCAGCTTGGTGTGGTGGGCCTGGAACTTCCCCAACTTCAAGATCTGTACCGTTGGCTTGAAGTGGACTTCCAGCCTCTCAAGTTGTCCGGGTGTGTCATGCAGTGCTTTGACTTCATTAACAAGTGGGAAGAATGCTCTGAATTGCGCATGTATGTGACTGCTCTGCAAGACATCACTATCATGCGACTGCTGAAAGAGGTGCTTTTTCATTGTTGGTACATGTTTGTTGTCTGTGGTGTTCACTTTTGCTGTCTTTCACTGCAGGTGTCGCAGGTGTATCAAACCATTGAAATCAAACGCTTGCTTGAGCTGGCCCCCTTTTGCCAATGCCTTTTACTTGGAGAACATGGTGGTGGATGCCGTGCGAAGAAATGACTTGCAAGTCCGCATTGACCACAAACGTCGATGCCTGCATTTCGGCTCCGAGCTTAGTGTCTCTCAGCAAGAGGAAGTGGTGGAAGGCCACATTTGCAGGGTATGCCAAGTGAACAGATTCGTTGTCAGCTTGTCAGCTGTGCTCTGTCCTGCAGCGATCAGTTCATCTCATCAGACCAGAAGAGGTCAAGGCAAGTGTTTGCGTGTGATAGGCTTGGTCTAGCAGGTTTAATTTTCCATTTTGTTGCACTCCCCACTATCTAGGACTCTACGAAAGAACTCAAGATGAACTATCATAGATGCAACCGCCTGGTCTGCAAGAAAGAGCACAAGATCCTTGAGCGCCAGCAATAATAGAGGCTCGCAAAAGAGATGCTGGAGAAACCTCACTTTCCAGCGGGTGAGTGACAATGTTTTGTACTCTTGATTGTTTCAGTTGACATGTTTACAAAGCCGAAAATACACATTGTTCACTTTGCAGGAGGAAGAAGAGTGCAAACAATGGAGGAGAGACAGCAGAAAATGCGCGAGGCAGAAAAGAGCGCATAGTGCGCGAGGCAGAGGAGCGTGCCAAACAGCGCAGCCAGCGAGAACAGGATGAGATGAAGAAAAAGTGGTGCTAGAATAGATTGGCTTTTGCGCAAGACTGATATAGGGGCACACATATTTGAGGAATTAGAGGAGAAGAGCTTGAGCGGCTTGATCCTGAGTAGATACTGAATCAACAGGTAGAGCAGCTGGATCGTGAGCGTAAGAAATGCAAACAAAGTTGAAAAGCAAGAAAGAAAGGTGGAATACATGGAACGTGCTAAACGTCTGGAAGAGATCCCTCTGTTGCAGGAGGCCTATGAGCACTTCAAGCTTGAAGACCAGAAGTTCTGGCTGCAGAAAGAGGAGGAACGCATTCGTTTGCTAGTTCAAGAGCGAGAGGTTGCACTCCAACACAAGATGAGGCTGTCGCGCATGCACGATGACAAGAGGAGTTCCTAAGCAAGCTGACGCAGGACCCCTAGTCCGTCTACAAGATAAGCGCCGGCAGTTCGAGCAGCCGCTTGAAGAGGAGCGCCGCAAGAGGCTAGCAGCTCGCAAAGCTGAACGCAAAGAGCGATGCGAAAAATTTTTGCGCTGAGCGCGAAGAGGCAAGACGGCGAGCCGCCCTGGAGGAGCAGAAGCGCATCGAGGCTGAACGCCTGAGTAAGCTGCGGGAGATGGAGGCCATTAAGGCAGCGCGCGAGCGGGAGATTGAAGAAAAGCAGCGGAGAATGGAAGAAGAGCGCCAGCGCCAGGAGGCTGAGAAGATACGGCAGCCAACTAGCCGCACCGAGGGAGACAAGCAGCTGGCGCAAAAGGTGAAATGTTTTGCCTTCTGTACAGACTTGCCTAATGTGGCATTATTTTCATAGATGACTTTTTTTCTCTCTCTTTAATTTTCAGAGACGAGGAGGCCAAAGCGCAAAATTGAGTCGTGGAGAAGTAAGTAGCCTGAATGCTAGCATAGAGCTGTGAAAACTCACAAACTGTATACACGTTCATCTTCTCAGGCCGTACTCTTGACAACCGTGAGAGCGAAAAAGAGTCCTTTGGAAGAAGAGATCGTGACAATGAGAAGGATCGCGACAACGAAGACAAACTGGCGCCGAAAGAGAGACATTGATGACGGTGAGGCTACCAGAATGTATATGTCTATGTTTAATAAAATACTCTGAAAACATGGGTGACCACATCTTTTGCAGTTTATTGTAGTTAATTTTATTATTCAATTATATGCAGAGCCACCAGGATCAAGAGCACCAGAGTCTTGCTGGCGCAAAGCTGAGCCAGATGCTGACAAAAGTGGTTCATGGCGCCCTGGTGGAACGTCGTGGCGTTCAGGGGACAATCGGGTGCGAGATGGTGGTCGTCGGGACTTCGGGGAGGAGCCTCGTCCACCACCACCTCGAGATTTCGAAAGAGAGGATCGTGGTCGTCCTCCACGGATTTCGACAGAGAAGATCGTGGCCGCCAGGAGTTTGGTCGAGACTTTGGGGATGACCGCCGTCGTAGGGACTTTGGACGAGCCCGAGAGTTTGGAGATGATCGCCCCGCCGGGTCTGGGGAAAGTGAGAACTGGCGTTCTGGGCTCAAGGAATCCAGAGGTGGTGGGTTCTGGCTGGCAGTCAGATGATAAACGTCCATCACCACGAAAAGGTGAGGCAGCACAACGCACTACAAGGAAGTCTTAGCACTAAATCTGCATTGCTCCCTCAAGCCTTCATTTCTTCCAGCAGTGAATTGCTGGAAGTTAGACGTGATGTTACACGCTTTTTTCACAATAAGTGTTTTCTTGAATTGGTGATCTTGCCCCACAGCAAATGTCCCAGTGTGTAGTGCTGTGTATGCAAGAAAAACTTTTGCATTTGGCTAGCTTTTTTATCTGAAAACTATGAAGGCTTGCACCCATGCACATACAAGAGAAGAGACAAATTCAAGAGTTCTTACTACCACTCCTCTACTGTCGACATATACTATAAGGGGGCAGATCAAGTTGCGTGTGAAATAAGATACCAGTCAATTTCGTGCATTTTCCTTCTTTTGCTTGATTACCAATAAAAACATTTATCCTTATCTTAACAATAGTCTGAACCGTTTCTTTGAACATTTTTGCCTACACAATATAGTAGGTGGACTAGAGCCGCAAGAAATGTGCCCCTTGGTACTGAAGTGTGCACTCAACACATGCTCTTTCCTGTATTATGTGACCTAGCACTGCAGGAAATTTTTTATAGACATGAGGGCTACCCACGTGCAGTGAAGATCCTCTTTCCTGTATAAAGTATGTGCCCTAGCACTGCAGGGAATTTTGTATAGATATGAGGGCTACCCACAACATGCTAGGCCTAAATTCTGTTTTCCACCTCTGCACAGATCACATTACTGGCCCCTGGAGAGACAAAGAAAGCAGGCCAAACAAGCCAGATGCCACTTGAGGATGGCTGGAAGGCAGTCCACTAAATCCAGTGCACAGATCCTTACTGGCCCCTGGAGAGGCCAAGCTACGCTGGTGCCGGAAAGAGGCAAGGAAGCAGCAGGCCAGGCTCAACAAGCCAGATGAGGATAGAAAGTAGTCCACTACATCCAGTGGTCCTGCCATTGCTATTCAAAACTGGCTTGCCTACTGAAGCTGGCAACTTTTCAAAGTAGAAAGGCAGAAGAATACGGCATTCTTCTTATGTAACTACATGCACCCAAGAACCACTGCAAGAGGTTTGCTGCAATTTTTTTTCAGCATTTATTCTAAACAATCAATAAACTGGTACACAATACTTGAAGTAATGTGACATAATTTCCATGAAGCAACCATTTAAAAGTTGTAGAGGCCTTGAAATTTGAACCTCAATTGAATATATGGTTTCAGTCATAAAAAAAAAGTGGGATGTAGACTTATTCTGTGCCTACTGTACCATTGTACAGTAGGCACAGAATAAGTCTAAAACGTTAGAATAAGAAGAAAACACGTTAACATTATGGGAAGAACCTTTTACAAATGATTGTTGATTGGTGGGATTAACGCCCAAAACCACCATATGATTATAGAGAGACCCGTAGTGGAGGGCTCCGGAAATTTTGACCACCTGGGTTCTTAACGTGCACCCAAATCTGAGTACACTGGCCTACAACATTTCCGCCTCCATCGGAAATGCAGCTGCCACAGCCGGATTTGATCCACGACCTGCGGGTTGGCAGCAGATTACCTTAGCCACTAGACCACCGTGGCGGGGCCCTTTTACAAATGAAATGAACATGTGCTGGGAGCACAGTCAATGTGGAAGTGCTACTCTAGCATGCATGCGACGTTTTTTTTTCCCACTTGCTCTTCAGCAGGCAATCGTAATTTCTTCCTCCTTTTCTTCCCTGAAAAGTAGAAGTGTGCGCACTGATCGAACTGACCATCCAAGATTTCTGCCCCATGTGGTATAAAAGCTAAAACAATTTACGGTTTTATAACATCCATGCATGTGCACATTTTAAAGGGAGGCTCAACTGTACAGCCGCAGTCACGTCTGTGTAGAGCACGCGAGCAGCCGGTGTTGCTCTGCATGGCTAACACTTGGAGCAGTATCGGGCTCCGAGGTTTTCAGCCTGACAACTAGGCCACTCATGCTTTTGATACACCACTTCAGAGCCTGAAACTGCCTCAAGGTTTCACCCCGCTGAGCGAAAAACCGGCTGTCCGTGCGCTCTACACAGACGTGGTCACGGCTGTACAGATGTACTTGAATTTGTTCTAAGCACGTAGCAGCAGGTGCAGTACTTTACTCTAAATGGCATAACTTCATAACCGCGAAGCCCAAGGGAACTTTGCTGATTATTTGGACT